GACCAATTCCAGAAGACAACCCTTGTGGGCCAGGGTTGTGAGTTTCTGGAGAGGGCAGTAGAGATTGGATAAAGGTGATGTTGTCCCAGAACCAGTTGTCCGGAGAGCGGGAAGGTGGGTAGGACCTGTCCCATGCACAGGGGAGGGCCTTGTGGAGGGCTTAACTGTCACGATGGGAGAGATTCCTAAGCCCCAGCCCACAACTATTGAAATCTGAATTATTAGCAAGCACACCCACACCCCCCCCCCGTGTGATTTTCATGACCACAAAGTTGAGAACCTTGACATAATACCATTCCTGAACCACCTTTAGTTTGTTCACCTACCTTCTTGCATGGGAGGGCAGAACAGAACTCCACAGACACTGCATCCCCACCTAGCTTGCACGAAAATGAATGTGAAATCAGCAAAACTCTGTGTGCCCTGGGCTACCAGAGCTTGGTGATGGATCTGCAATCCCTGAGACTTCTTTTAGGGGAGAAGAGTCACTTGGTGAAATGTCCCAATGACCACCACGCTGCTGCCTGGACCTTGGGAATTATGGTTTCTAGTCTATGCTCTGAGGCCTATGCCCAAGGAAGACCACAGGCCCCTCTGTGCTGTCCTCTCCTTGGCCTTTGGAGAAGCCCATTTACACCTTGGGGGCTGACTCCACAGTGCCCTGAGACAGAGTTTCCTAGGATGTCCCTTCCACCAACTCCAACACGCAACATCAGGATAAGCCTTCCTCAGGAAAGATTTTCTATGTGCTGCATCTCCAGAGGAGTCGTCAGTTGCAGTCTGTGAACCTCTTCTTAAGTGGTAATGGGCTGAAATGTCTCCCCCCAAATTCGTATGTCGAAGCTCCAGCCCCCAGGACCTCAGAATGTGACTGCACCTGCACAGGCCCTTCCAGAGGCGAGTAAGCTAAGATGAAGCTGTTAGGGCAGCCCAGATCCAATCTGACTGGTGTCCTAAGAGGAGGAAGTTTTGGCACATGGAGAGACATCAGTGGTGCACACACACAAATGGTGACCATGTGAGGACAAAGCAGCCAATAGGTGGCTGTCTGCAAGCCAAGGAGAGAGGCCGCACAAGAAACCAAACCTGCCCACACCTCGACCTCAGACTTCTAGGCTCTGGAACTGTGAGAAAAAAATGTCTGGTGTTTAAGCCACCCTTCCTGTGGTGCTTTGTTACAGCAGCCTAAGCAGACAGGTACACGAGCTAAAGTTCCCCAAGTTCTGCACCTTTCTACTACTGTGACATTCTACTGTGTTCCAGAAAGGTTAGTAGCAGCCCTCTCGTCACCAGTACGTGAGCTACATCCTTGCCTATCAAACTGTGTTGACTTTCGTTTATATTTCCCCATTTATTAGTAAAAAATTTTCATTTTTATTACTAATTTGTTCTTATTCTAATATGAAATGACTGTGTCTTTTGTCTATTTTCTGTGGAAATATGCTATTTTTCTTATTGATTTGTGACAGTACTTTTTATAGCAAATATATGAAATCCTCTGTTGTACATTTGGCAAATGTTCTTTCTGTTTTTTTCCTTTCCTGTTAATTTTGTTTATATTTTGTCATGGAAAAGTTTAATTTTTTATGTGTTCAAATCCATTCCTCTTTTTTTTCTTTTCTCTCTTTCTTTTTTTTATTTTTGAGGCAAGGTCTTGCTATTTTGCCCAGGCTGAGCTCAAACTCAACATCTTCCTGCCTCAGCTTCCTGAGTAGCTGGGATTACAGGTGCATGCCATGGTGGCTCCCAAATCTATTTCTTTGGCCAGGCGCGGTGGCTCCCGCCTGTAATCCTAGGACTCTGGGAAGCCAAGGCGGGCGGATTGCTCGAGGTCAGGAGTTTGAAACCAGCCTGCGCAAGAGCGAGACCCTGTCTCTACTATAAATGGAAAGAAATTAATTGGCCAACTTATATATATAGAAAAAATTAGCCGGGCATGGTGGCGCATGCCTGTAGTCCCAGCTACTCGGGAGGCTGAGGCAGGAGGATTGCTTGAGCCCAGGAGTTTGAGGTTGCTGTGAGCTAGGCTGACACCATGGCACTCACTCTAGCCTGGACAACAAAGCAAGACTCTGTCTCAAAAAAAAAAAAAATCTATTTCTTTAACTGTATTTGTGTCTAAAAAAATCCTTTTCTATCCATACACTAAATAAATGTTTAACTAAATTTTCTTCTTGTTTTATGATTCCATATTTTGTTTTTTATTCTTTAATCCAACTTATATTGCTTTTGATGTTTGGCATGAAAATGGGATGCAAACTGATTTTCCCCCTCAAATATCAAAATTTTACCATACAGTTTTTTGAAAACAATCTACTCACCTTCCATCAAATTGAAATGTTTCCTTTTTAATATATTACCACTTATAGACCAAGGTCTGATTCTTGGTTACTATCATGCTCTCTTTCTCCTTCATTAATACCACTGCCTTATAATTACTGTTTCAATTATATATCAACTATCTGATAGAGTGCATTTCTCTTCATTACTTCTCACTTAAGATTCTTCCTACCTATTCTTGTCTATTATGCCCAGTGAATTTTTGAGTATGTTGTCAAGTTCTCCCAAAGAGCCCATGATATTGGTTGGAATTACGTTAAGTATACTAGTTAAGAAAAAAGACTCAACATCTTCAATCTTTCTCTCCAATGAAAAAATGGATCATCTCACTTTATTCAGACCTAGTTGCTATATACCTCTCAAAACATTTAGATTTAGTCTTAAACTTCCTTACTCTTCTCATTAGGGCTATTGAAGACACTTTGTTTTGTCACGTTGTGAATGAGACCTTGAGACCTTTTCCTGTAATGATTCCCAGCTATTGTCACTGAATCACACTGGAGCTATCTCTGAATACTGCCACTTTGTTGAGTTTTCTTGTTTATTCTAACAGGGTTTCCATCGATTCTTAAGGCTCTAGTTAGATTATCATTATTCACAGCCAATACGGTTATCTGGAATCTTCCCTCTCATTAAAAATGCTTCTTATTTATCCTTCATGTTAAATATTAGAGGTGAAAACAGTTGGTTGCTTGGATGATTCTTTTTTAAGTACATGCTTCTTTCTTACTCAGCATAACAGAATGCCATACTCAAGCTTTCTGGCAAAGAACATAACTTTAACTTGGCTGCTGTTCAACTATTATCCAAACAGTAGAGAAAAATGGCACTCATAGTGGATAGTTTGAAGGGCATAAATCAATTCTCTGGTAGTTTAGATTTTGTTCACTAGATCATCAGAGAGCCACACACTTGCTTTGCATTTTCTTGGCCCTGCAGAATTGCCTTCATAGAATTGTGCTTTGCCATCCTTTCTGGACTTGCAGTAAGAACATTTTTAAATCACCTTAAAAATCTACTATCACAATTATTTAAGGGTTTTCTAAGGTCATTGTCCATGACATCCATTTAGTAACCTAAATATAAAGAAAGACCTTTAACAGAAATGTCTTTGATACCACAGACCAAGAACAAGCAGTTGGTATAAGTCATTAATGTTAGATTTCAAGGTCCCTGGTCCTCCAAGTTGCACAGTCTGAAGTGTTGTGAGGCTCGCTAAGTCGTCCAAATAGGGCTCTGGCAGCACAGGGGATGGGTTAATTCATTAAAGTCTAGGCCTATATGTCTACAACGATAGAGTCAAGTTAAAGCCGGGCTTGTTCAATATGGAAAATAGGAATAAATTTGAGTGAAAAAGTCAAAGGAAGTCTACTAAAGGAAGAGAACAGATGCTATATGCACCATCACTGGAAGTCTATTTACAGAAAACACAATACACCTCGAATCTGGAATCATCTCATTAAAAAGCGCTTTGCCATTACCGCTTCAGCTTTTACTAAAGATTATTACCAGGAATAGCCATATAAAAACCGTCCTGAATTTATTGTGAACATCTTGTCCAGAATATCGTCCGTCATTCAATATTTCAAACTTAAGGTCCAAGATGAGAAATTTCATTCAGGAATTTAGTTCAGGAAAAGCTTTGATTCTTTTTTCCAATTCCAAAGCTTGCTCATTTAGAGTAATGACATGTGGGGATTACTGAATTTCCCTTTTCTCTCCCGGTCGCCAAGAGGCTCAGAACAAAATTTGCCACTCAACCACAGCGATTATACAAGCCCTCAGAGTTGACATATTCATTTCATGGTTCTAATTTCCTCTCACCAGTTTATTAGCCTTATCATTAACACTTTTTGTGTCATACCAGATCTTTTTTGGAACAAAGGCCAAGTGTATGTGGCATTTTCTTTGCTGCTGTCACGTGGTTGTTCACGGTGTGAACGCGTCCTATGACAGTTATCAGTAAGGAGAGCCAGTCGGCGGGTGGTGGAAGGAGACCGGCCGTGTCACTCCCAGCCCTAAGGCGGGGGCTGCAACTCTCCGCGGAGGTGGAAGCTGGCCAGGTTCTGTGGCAGAGGTTGGAGAGGCCATACCCCATGGATGCAGGAAGCTGCCACTCAGCCCCCAGGATTAGACTGGTTTTCTTGAGGCAATGCAAGCCTGAATTGATAGAACTTACAATTTTCTAGAAAAGCTATAAGTCTAGATTTTAAAGGAATCCTAGTGTTTGAAATGTTGGTAACTAATTCAATTTTCTTTTAAACACACTGGACCAGCACAAAATAGAATAGTGGCTGCCAGAGGGTGGGGAGAAGGGAAAATGGGGACTTGTTCAACGGGTATAAAGTTTCAGTTATACGAGATGGATAAATACTAGAGACCTGCCGTACAGCAGCACACCTGTAGTTAACAACACAGTATCGGGCACTTGAAAATTTGTTAAGAGGGTAGATTTCATGTTAAATGCTCTTACCACAATGAAACAAAAAAGCACAGGGACATAGGAAATTTCTGGAGATAGTGAATATGCTAGCTACCTCGATTGTGGTGATGGTATCATGGGCATATGCACATGTCCAAGCCCATCCAACTGTCCACATTAAATATGTGCAGTTCTTTGTATGTCAGTTATACCTCAATAAAGGTGATTATTTACTTACTTACTTACTTATTTTGAGCTCCTCTCCTCCTCCAAGAAAAGTGTTTTAAAAAAACCACTCTGGACCAAGCCACCATCTTTAGCCCAAACCTGGGCCTTTGGACTCACGGACATTTGGGAGCAGGTATCAAGAACCCAATTACCAGGAAGACAAAGCAGGAACTTTGGCACACTGGTAACTTTGCCACTGGGGTGCTGATGTCATAATGGCAGCAAGCGTTCCATGGAGGTAAGCCCTGGAGAAACCTGAAGTTCTAAGCACTGTCTCAGATTTTGTGAGCATGGATTAGTAGGTAGAGTCCTGGACTTGGAATCTGGAAACATAGACTTGGTCTCAGCTCTGCCTCCAGCAAATCACATCTTGGAGAACCCAGTGAATTGCTCAAGGCCTCCATAGCACTCCAGGCACGAGAAGGAGGTTGGCTAAGGCATGGAATCTCTCAAATTCTTTATTTCCAGAAGTATCTTATCAGAATCCACAAAGATAACATGAGCACGAGAAAAGAAATTTTCACTCCTCTTTCAATCATTTACTTCTGCAGAGGAATTATCTACCTTTCCAATGTTCCTGCAAACACTAAATGAATGGAATTTTCAAGGGCAAGTGGGGAAAAAAAAACAAGATTGAAAAGTAGGGGACAAGGGGACTACCACTCTCCACCAAAGGAATTTCTGATTTCACAGTCTACTAGCAACAAAAACATAGTCACAGTGTGCTTTAATGCTTGGACTATTTTTTCTAAAGGGCAGAGTTAATACTTAACAATGTACAGGCAGGGCCATTTGGACATACACATTTGTTATACCTGATAATTTTTTGTAAATAATAAATCACAAACTGTAAGCAGCTGACTGTTTACAATGTTTTCAGAATATATGGTTACTTTAATTCTTCAATGATTTCTTCAAGTTTTTCCTTAAGGGCACCAGAGAACTCACCCACCTTTTCTTCTTTCTTATAAAACTGAAAGGTTGGGATGCTCATGACCGCACAGTCTTGCACCAGCTCCTCACAGTCGTCAGCATCCACTTCCAGGAATACCACGTCCTCGTGCTCCACAGACAGGGCATGGAAGACTGGCCGCATGATCCTGCAGGGCCCACACCACGTGGCCGAGAAGTCCACAGCCACCAACCTCTCTCCAGCCTCCTTGAGCGCTGCCTTGAAGTCCTCCTTGCTCAGGATCATTCTCACCATGTCCACCTCCAGGAACTCCATTGTTTCTTCTTTGGGTTTCGGAAAGTCGCCTTCCTTGAACTGGATGGCTTCTTCTGAGCCCTTGGGGAGGTCACCTTCTGTGTACTGGATCGTTTCTTCTGAAGCCTTGGGGATATTGCCTTCCTGGATCATTTCTTCTGAGGACTTGGGGAGTTCACCCTCCTCCGGCTGGATTGTTTTCATTGAGAATTTGAGGATGTCACCCTGCTTAGGCTGGATGGTATTTGCTGGAGACTTGGGGATACTGCCCAGCTTGGGATGGGTGATTTCTTTTGGGAACTTCGGGATACTGCTTAGCTTGGAATGGGTGGTGTCTTCTGGAGACTTGGAGATACTGCCCAGCTTGGGCTGGATGATGTTTGCTGGGGACTTGGGGATACTACCCAGCTTTGGGTGGATGGATTCTTCTAGGGACTTGCGGATACTGCCTAGCTTGGGATAGGTGGTTTCTTCTGAGGACTTGGGGATACTGCCCAGCTTGAGATGGGTAGTTTCTTTGGGGGACTTGGGCATACTTCCCAGATTGGGATAGGTGGTGTCTTCTGGGAACTTGGGCGTATTGCCCAGCTTGGAATGGGTGGTTTCTTCTGAGGACTTGGGGATACTTCCCTGACTGGGATAGGTGGTGTCTTCTGGGAACTTGGGAATACTGCCCAGCTTGGGATAGGTGGTTTCTTTGGGGGACTTGGGCATACTTCCCTGACTGGGATAGGTGGTGTCTTCTGGGAACTTGGGGATATTGCCCAGCTTGGGATGGGTGGTTTCTTCTGAGGACTTGGGGATACTGCCCAGCCTGAGATGGGCGGTTTCTTTGGGGGACTTGGGGATACTTCCCAGATTGGGATAGGTGGTGTCTTCTGGGAACTTGGGGATATTGCCCAGCTTGGGATAGGTGGTTTCTTTGGGGGACTTGGGGATACTTCCCAGATTGGGATAGGTGGTGTCTTCCGGGGACTTGGGGATACTGCCCAGCTTGGGATGGGTGGTTTCTTTGGGGGACTTGGGGACCCTGACTGGGATAGGTGGTGTCTTCTGGGAACTTGGGGATATTGCCCAGCTTGGGATGGGTGGTTTCTTCTGAGGACTTGGGGATACTGCCCAGTTTGAGATGGGTGGCTTCTTTGGGGAATTTGGGGATGCTGCCCAGATTGGGATGAGTGGTGTCTTCTGGAGACTTGGGGATACTGCCCAGCTTGGGATGGGTGGTTTCTTTGGGGGACTTGGGGATACTGCGCAGATTGGGATAGGTGGTGCCTTCTGGGAACTTGGGCATCTTTCCCAGCTTGGGATGGGTGGTTTCTTTGGGGGACTTGGGCATACTTCCCAGATTCGGATAGGTGGTGTCTTCTGGGAACTTAGGGATATTGCCCAGCTTGGGATGGGTGGTTTCTTCTGAGGACTTGGGGATACTTCCCTGACTGGGATAGGTGGTGTCTTCTGGGAACTTGGGGATATTGCCCAGCTTGGGATGGGTGGTTTCTTCTGAGGACTTGGGGATACTGCCCAGTTTGAGATGGGTGGCTTCTTTGGGGAATTTGGGGATGCTGCCCAGATTGGGATGAGTGGTGTCTTCTGGAGACTTAGGGATACTGCCCAGCTTGGGATGGGTGGTTTCTTTGGGGGACTTGGGGATACTTCCCAGATTGGGATAGGTGGTGTCTTCTGGGAACTTGGGCGTATTGCCCAGCTTGGAATGGGTGGTTTCTTCTGAGGACTTGGGGATACTTCCCTGACTGGGATAGGTGGTGTCTTCTGGGAACTTGGGCATATTGCCCAGCTTGGAATGGGTGGTTTCTTCTGAGGACTTGGGGATACTGCCCAGCCTGAGATGGGTGGCTTCTTTAGGGGACTTGGGGATACTTCCCAGATTGGGATAGGTGGTGTCTTCCGGGGACTTGGGGATACTGCCCAGCTTGGGATGGGTGGTTTCTTTGGGGGACTTGGGGATACTTCCCAGATTGGGATAGGTGGTGTCTTCTGGGAACTTGGGGATATTGCCCAGCTTGGGATGGGTGGTTTCTTCTGAGGACTTGGGGATACTGCCCAACTTGAGATGGGTGGTTTCTCTGGGGGATTTGGGTATACTGCCCAGCTTGGGATGAGTGGTGTCTTCTGGAGACTTGGGGATACTGCCCAGCTTGGGATAGGTGGTTTCTTTGGGGGATTTGGGGATACTGCCCAGCTTGAGATGGTTGGAGTCTTCTGGAGACTTGGTGATATTGCCCAACTTGGGATAGGTGGTGTCTTCTGGAGACTTTGGCATATTGCCCATCTTGGGAGGGGTGGTTTCTTTAGCATACTTGGGGATACTGCCCAGATTAGGATAGGAGGTGTCTTCTGGGGACTTGGAGATATTGCCCAGCTTGGGTTGGGTGATGTCTTTTGGTGACTCAAGGATTCTGTTCAGCTTAGGATGGATGGCTTCTTTTGGGGACTTGGGGGTACTTCCCAGCTTGGAATAGATGGCTTCTTTTGGGGATTTAGGGATATTGCTCAGCTTGGGATGAATGGTTTTTTCTGGGGACTTAGAGATGTTGTCCTCCTTGGGCTGGATGGTGTTTGCTGAGAACTTGGGAATGTCACCACCCTGCTGTGGGACCTCAGACTCCTCTGTGGGCACATAGAGCGTGTTGTTGACCATGGGAACAAAGGACTTCTCTTTGGCCTGAGCTGTGTCCAAGAACTCTGGAACCAGAAGAGCCACATTGCTGGAAAGAATCTGTAATGGACTTTCTGAACAAAAAAGTAAATAAAATAAAAATGAAAAAGAAGAAACAAAAACAGTCTAATCATATAATCCAAGGAAGACTGATGTCATTCTTAGAGATAATGAATGAAGTCTGATGAATGACATATTAATTTGAATAACCTCATTCAACAGAAGGCCAAATAATATGTGATTACATGTATCTTTTATAGATATATGTATACATACATACGTATAGATAGATACTGTTTTTTAGAGATAGGTTCTCATTCTGGCCCAATTATAACTCACTGTAACCTTGAACTCTCGGGCTCCTGCCTTGGCCTCCTAATCTCCTGAGTAGCTAGGACTACAGGTGCACACCACCATGCCTGGCCAATGTTTTTATTTATTTTTTTAGAAAAAAGATCTCACTATGTTGCCCAGGCTAGTCTCAAACTCCTGGCCTCAAGTGATCTTCCCACCTTGGCCTCCCAAAGTGCTGGGATTATGAGCATGAGCCACCGAGCCTGGCTATGTTTTTGTTTTTGTTTTTTTTAACCATAACTTTCTCTGCTTGGTTCAATACTATACACTGACCACTCCCTAAGTGCACAGGTTCCTAAGGCAACCCTCTTCCCTCCTCACTCACCATTAGTGTCACCTTCATTTGTGTCTTCTTGAGTAGCCAGCTTCATATCTGGCTTTTCTGGGGCACCAGCATTAACTCTTTCCATCGCCAGCTTGTCTACATTTGCTCCTGATCTGTCACAGGTGCCACATAGCAGAGGCAGTACTCTCCAGCTTTTTCCAGCCTGTACAACCTAGCATCAAAATGTGAGTCACAACTTCTATTCAGGTAGCATGTTACAGCTGGTTTTCCCTATGTTTACTCACAACAGTGATATCTGAGAGCTTCATGGTGGCATCAACAGTGGTGGCCACACTGTGCCCGAGGCTGTGGATATGCGTTCAAAGCAGGCATTATTTCCTACAACACAGCAGACCACTGAGGTAAGTACCATTATGATCAGCACTTTGCAAATGAGAAAATTGAGCCTTAGAGAAGTTATGTAGCTCAGTCAAGATACAAAGCTAGGATGTGGGGCAGGCTCCAAAGCCCACGCTCTGAACGAACACGCTGCCGTGCCATTTGCCAAGTGTCCTGTCTGGGCTGGGTCATGTGAACCAGCTTCCCCACAATCTCCTGCAGGATTCTCCAGCTCTAGCTTTCCCTTTATGACTTGCCCATTGTGACCATCTCCTAAGTATTTCCTTGTGATCATGTTAGCCTCCTCTGGAAAGTGCCACAGGATGTCAGATGTCCAGCTCCTGCCAGATGGTCTCTCCCCCCACCTCCCAGGCCCACGAGCCTGGCCTGTACCCTGTCTTGCACAGGTGCATCCAAGTACACAGGTTCCCCGCTCTCTGCTTGGTGGGGAGCAGCCTCCTCATGGCTGGTCCCAGTTCCCTTCCCTTCCCACTCCACCCCTTGGAGTCAGAATCACACACCTGTCTCTGGGAAGACTTCTTTTATCGGTTCAGGACTATTAGCTTGTTTTCCACTCTCATTCTGCATGACACATCCAGTCCAACATGCTATGTATCTATGGAGAATTTTGTATTCTCCACATACTTTGAACAGATCCTTATCTGTTTTAGTTTTACCCCAACAACGTAAGTATTGAAATCAAGAGGGTGGTCTAACCGGTAAGACCTCCAGGTTCCATAGAAGCCTCAAAACGTCTAACGGCAGTGGTTCAATTAGCTGGATTTGTATACGAAAATGCATGTTATTACGGGGAAAAGGCAGTGGGGGAGAGACTGCTGGCCTTAGCAAATCCGTGTTTCTTGATAACGTGAGTCCCTTTCCCGGGAAGAGCTTGTGCTTCCACTCTGTCTCCTCAGACACTGGCCAGGAAAGCTCTCCCCGCTCACCCTGGGAGACCTTGGGCAAAGACTTAGGGACCTTTCTGATGTGATGTTTTAGGACAGGAGGTTGTCTTCCCTCTCTAAAGCAAAGGGCTTCTGTAGCTGCTGGACCTCTCCATTGTGCTGTGTTCTAAAGCAGAGGATGGGCATAAATGTCAGGCACTTATCTGTTCAATGTCCTCCTCCTCAGTGATGTTAGGAGAAAGGAGCCAAAACAGTGAGATTGGACATAACTCATGCAAGTCATCAGGCTTTATGAACATAAAAGGGATACTATTTTGGGCCTTGCTCACTGGTAAATTATTTTCTCTTTGGACTCTGGCTTATACAGAGTTGCGGCTATTTGGAAGGGAGTAGACTATGACACAGAGGAACTCCCTAACTAGAGAAGGAAGTGAAACTGTCACCCCTTCCCTGCCAGTGGATGGGGAAGCACCAGGACAGAAGCATGTGTCCTGGCCTCCCGCTCCGGCTCAGAACCTCGGCATGGACGCTGGTCAGACGTGCTGGAGGAGAGCTGGGGCAGAGGGCACTGGCCTCCTGCTCCACCAGAAGGCCAGGGGGAGTCTGCATGGACTGCACATCTCCGGCAGCACTCGCCCCGGTACAGCACGGCCACGGCACAGGGCCTGAATGGGTCTGTAGGCCTGGGGCATGCCAGGGACCCGGAAGTCCTGCACCCCTGGGTGGGTCTGGGAGTGCTCTGAGACCAGGGGACAATAGAGGCCCAGAGGAAGCACCACGAAGTCACAGCATGGGGCATTTGTCACCAGAGGCAAAGACTAGAATCACAGACTCCACCTGCGAGTGACAACACAATGCTCCCCCCCACACGGGTGAGTGAATCCTCACAGTCCCGACTACGGACGGGGCCAGGCGAAACCAGCAAGAGGCCAGGCGTCCGGCCCCACTGACCCACACAGCCCTGTGCACCCAGACGCTGCGGAGAAAGGGAGGACACGAGGGGTTGAGCTGCCACCACCATGGAAAAGTGTCCTTTAAGCTGAAATTCCAGAAACAGGCAACTTTAATTCAGTTTCTCTCCTCCTCACCATCCCACCCCAAAACCCACTGAGAGAAGGCTCATGGGTGGTAGGAGAGTAGATCCATCTTGGAGAAGTGTTTAGGCTCCATCGTATCTGCACGTCTTAGCAAAAGAGAAGAAATCTGTGACCCCGTTACGCTTACACTTGGAGACCTTAGCTGTGTTTCAGGCTTGGCAGTTGTTCCAGTTATTTTTACTCTTCCTTCTGCAATTCACGTGGGTTCCAAACGACTTGGAATATCGATGCCTCTGAATCATTTTCATTCAACTTGTCATAAAATGTATGTTTTCCTTCAGCACAAGCTCATCCCCAAAGCGCCCATGAGAACTCATGTGAGTCAGGGTTGTGTCTCAGGAAACAAAAACAACCAGCTATTTCAGGCATACGATGATTTCGGCAATTACAAGACTGCTGGCAAGGCTGCCTGTTCAGGCTAGGTGTCTAGGAATGATTCCCGGAACACGGAACAGTGTTACCGAACACGCCTGCCGGGGCGCTGCAGCCTCCAGCGCATCCAGGAGGTGGGGAATCAGAAGGCTGCCGTCCTGTTGGCTTCAAGAACTTCCCGTGAGAGCGGCCATCCCGGGGTGAGCCCACCCCGGCCTCACCCCGCCAGTTCAGAGCTGCGGATGAACACGGGTGCTCTGCTCCGACTTCCCACCAGCCCCTGCAGGAAGGGGCAGAAGTTGCACACAATGGCCTCCTTCTCAAGCACGTTCATCTACTGGTAGACTCTATTTCGCACCTGCAAGGGTGTCAAGGAAACGTAGCTTTCGTTGCCAGCCTTTGCTGTACTGGGAAGCCACGGCAGACGGGAGTTGTCATAAGCACTGGGCATGAGTTCATTGCTGCCACACCCTTATAAGGACAACATTAGGGACTAGTTTTCCTTATACCTTATACTGGCCTAAGTTTTTGGTTTTATAATTACAAAAATAATACATGTTCATAAGAGAAAAATTAGAAAATGGATAAATGAAAAGAAAATAAAGAATTACTCATAGTCATTCCTAGTTTAGGGATCATTGCTAATATTGTGATCATGCTAATAATCTTTGTCTTTTTTCTATTCATATGTAAATATTTTCAAATGAGATAATTTTCCAGAAAAGATACTATTTTGTCATCCTTTTCTCTTAAGAGTATATGTTGGCATCCCTCCAATGAGTGCCCTTAGCCTCAACTTCCCTCTCATGTCCCTTGAGGCCCCCTGGTCACACTTGCACAGAGAACTCAGCACTCATGTTATTATGGGCTTTTATTCCTCAATTGACTAAACACTTTAGGCTTAACCTATTGGCCTCAAAAGTATTGGGCAGGCCGGGTGCAGTAGCTGACACCTGTAATACTAGCACTTTGAGAGGCCGAGGCAGGAGGATCGCCTGAGGCCAGGAGTTTAAGACCAGCCAGAACAAAAGTGAGAGAAACCTCCCTTCTTTACAAAAAATAGAAAAAATTAGCCAAATGTGGTAGGACACCTGTAGAGCCAGCTACTTAGGAGGCTGATGCAAAAGGATCACTAAAGCCCAAGAGTCTGATGCTGCAGTGAGCTGTGATGAGGCCATACACTTTAGCCCCAGCAACAGAGCAAGACCTTGTCTCAAAAAAACCAAATACATACATATATATTAGGCAGTTATGTTACTCGCCTGTTTCATTCCTATGGTAGTCAGTTATATACTCTTATTTGGAATTAACATGGTGGGTATCTCTCTACTCAACTCCATTCACAAAATCACAGATAACTACACTAAAAATCAATAGCAGAAGAAATGCCAAGAAGAGCCCATCCCAGCATTGAAGTAAACCAAATGTTCTTTCTTGGAACCAAAGAACTTTACATTAAAAACTGAATTATAGGCACTCACTCTAGCCTGGGCAACAAAGCGAGACTCTGTCTCAAAAAACAAAACAAAACAAAACAAAAAAAAAACACTGAATTATATGTAGACACACGAACACCAAGCATTTATTTATGTTTTCCACATAATAATCTTGACCATTATGATTTTAATGCTCTCTCTTATGGAGATAGTATTGAGATATTAAAAAAAATGTATGTTTATTTTCTGTTAAAGTCCTATTAATATTGTAAATTTTCTCAAGTATTAGTTATTAATGAACAGAATAAACAAAATACTATGTTACCACAAAAATAAAAATAAATATTTTTACAAATAGATTTTGAATACTTTCCATGTCAAAACATGTTCACTCAGAGCATGAGTCAGCAAATTTTTTTCTGTGTGGGCCAGATAATGTTAATAAGTATTTTAGACTTTGAAGACCACATGTTTCTGTCATACTACTTAACTCTGTTGTGGTAGCATGAAAGCAGCCATCATGAGTACAGCTGTGAACCCCCAAAATTCACATGTTTGTCTTAGCCCCTGGTACCTCAGACTTCGGCCTTTCTTTTGGAAATAGGGTTGTTGCAGATATAATTAGTTAAGTCATCCTAGAGTAAGGTGGGCCCCTAATCCAACATGACTGGTACCCTTATACCAAGGGGAAACGTGGGCACGGACATACACAGCGGGAAAGGAATGTGAGGAGACACAGGGAGAAGACAGCCGTCCACAAGCCAAGGAGAGAGGCCTGGAACAGATCCGTTTCTCATAGGCCTCAGAACGTTGTAATTTGGGATTTCTAGCCTCCAGAACTATGAGATGATATGTTTCTGTTGTTTAAGCCCCCCAGTTTGTGGCAGTTTGTCACAGCAGCCCTGGCAGATAATACAGCAGCAGCCACGCACAATATATAAACAAGTGGTCATGGTCGTGTCCCAATAAAACTTTACTTACAAAAACAGGCAGCTGGCCAATGGGTCATAGTTTGCTGACGCCTGACATAGATAATCATTTTTAATGACTGATAAGTGTTCCTTTGAATGGATGAACTATGGTTTATTTAAATAATTTTCTATTGGTGGATATACAGGTTGATTTTGATTCTTCACTGTTACAAACCATGTAGTAATAAACATATTTATG